GGACAGAGTATGGGGAGAGTGGCAGATGAGCTTAGAAGGACAGCAGGTGAGCAGGTCATGCTAGGCCATGGCCCAAGTTCATACTTGAGGTTCATGGTAAAGATATACTCCGAAGTGGCAATAGAGGTAGCTTCTTAGAGGCACTCGCTTCACTTAGCTGCCCATTTATAGAGGAGTAAGCTGAACCCCATGGAAGTTATATGATTAGTACAAAATTGCATAGGTAGGGAGAAGCCCTAGAGAAATTCAGAACTGAGACAGACAGTGCATGATGTATTCATTAGGATGCCATTGGCTACATGTAAGAGAAACTTTGTATTCAGACAGGTTTCAATAAAAGGAAACTTAATTATCTCACCTTACTGGAAGACCAGAGATGGGAAGGCCCTGAGCATAGCTCTTTGAGTAGCCCAATGATGTTCTGTCCATCTTTTCAGCTGACAACCTCAGTGTTGTATAGGCTAGGATACGCTGCAATAATAGGCCTCAATTCCAGTTGCTTTCAAAAGCAGATACAGGGAGAGAGAGATAGATATTAATAGAGATATAGATATTTGTAGATATAAATATTTGTATATTTTTAATATTTATATCTCTATGCTCTATCTATCTATCTATCTATCGATCTATCGATCTATTGATCTATATTTACTCAGGCTACATGCCCATGGTGGGACACTATTTTTATTAGCTATCAGGTACTCCTCACTGTAGTCACCTAAGTACTCACACTGACAAAACCACTCCCATATAGAACATTGCTGATCACCATGCCAGAAGAAAATGAAAATTCTGGAGTGTCTTGCAGCAGCAATTAGATGCTCTGTTTCAAAAATAACACACATCATTTCTGCTCACAACTCATTGACTGATACTAGTCACTTTCCCCTCCTACTCACAAGTGGGCTAGGAATTGCAATTCTACTATATGCCTGGGAGGCAGAGATATTTGGTGAGCAGTGTTAATAACTATAAAATTGAGGCCGGATGCAGTGGCTCAAGCCTGTAATCCCATCACTTTGGGAGGCCAAGGCGGGTAGATCACCTGAGATCAGGAGTTCAAGACCAGCCTAGCCAATATGGTGAAACCCTGTCTCTACTAAAAATACAAAACCTAGCTAGGCGCGGTGGCAGGTGTCTGTAATCCCAGCTACTAGGGAGGCTGAGTCAAGAGAATCGCTTGAACCTGGGAGGTGGAGGTTGCAGTGAGCTGAGATCACACCACTGCATTCCAGCCTGAGCGACAGAGTTAAGATCTTGTCTCAAAAAAAAAAAAAAAACAAAAATGAATATCAACTTCAACTCTCAGCTGATGCCCCAACCCCAAGGTAATAACATCCAGAGAAACAACACCAAAAATAAAATAAAATAAAATAAAATAAAATAAAATAAAATAAAATAAAATAAAATAAAATAAAGAACAGGAATTATCACAATTTTTAAGAGCAAGGAAATTTCCCCAGAAACCTCCAGCAAACTTCTCTCACTTAGTATTGGCTAGAACCGGATCACATGTCCCTTCTTAATCCCTGTCAAGGGGAAAGAGATTTATTATGTCTAGCTCAACCCAATTGGGATTTGCCTTCTAGAGCCATGGACTGGTTCACTCTCCCCTGAACCTCAGGACTGTCTGAAGTTGGTGGAGGTGTTGGAAGAGATGATTCTTCTCTGGTACTTTTTATTGAGTCAAATCCACAAAGAAAGAGCACTTTGATATTGTCAACAATTCAGGCACTGAAACTAGGAGAAAAGAGAAATGTATGGTGGCAGCCAAGCAACCTTTTCTACTACAAAGGGCAAACCAGGAGGGCTGGAAATGTGAATAAGGAATATAGTGCACTGCAGCAAGAGTTGGGATATATAACCCCTAAGATCTTACACAGCCCTGAAGTGCTATTATTTCTATGAGTGTTGATGCCACCACTTATGAACACTGGGGTTCAGGATACACTTATAAGTGGTGGTGGTCTGAGAAACCAAATCAGTTTCTCTTACTCAATGCCACTGATCAAATCTTATTAGAGTCTGATGTGAGAAGGACAAATTTCTCCTATCCATCATTAAGGATAATGATGGAAAAGCAAATTTTGGAATAATAAAGGGAAGGAGAAGGCTCATGGAAGAGAAAAAGAAGGGAATAGCTTAGAAGTTGCACAGAGTACAAAGGTAAATATATAAGCCTGTTGTCTTCAAATATGTTCTTATGATTCCCAAATGTATATGCCTGTCTTATCTTCTCAGCTTGCAATTCTTGTGCTGGACAGCTCTACTTAGATCTCTCAAAGGAACCACAACAGGAACATTGCTAACTCTATCCTGAACCTGCTTTTTCAGCCATGCTTATCTCCACTGTGGGCATCAACTTCCAGTAATCTACTGCATCCCTTCATCATTTTTTACCTGTATTATCAGGACAGCTTCCAAATTGCTTTTCCTGCATCTAGTCCAGTGTTCCCTACTCCATTTGACTCAGAGATTCAGCAAACATGTAAAACTGACAGTGTCTTCTCCTGATTAAAACCCACCAATAATTCCCCAGCAATTGTAGAATAAATTCAAGTTCTTTGCAAGGGAGGGATTCAATGCCCTCCTCCTAGCCTTATTTGGAAGACTCCTTCAGGGTTCATGCTAAACTGCTTGCACCCCTGCTCACACACCCTTACCACTTCCTGTCTTTCTGGTTCTGCTAAGGATGTTCCCTCTGCTGGGGGCCTCCTTCCCCTCTTGTTTGCTGTATGAACTCGTAATCCATTCTTCAAGATTCTGCTCTACCTCATTGAGAAAGCTACCTTTGACCCCCATTTGTCCCCTTGCAGGGCTAGGCTGGGTGCCTGTCTTCTGCTCTCAGAGCACTCTGCCCGCCTTTATTATGAGACATAACCTTGCCATGTGGAAATCATTTGTTTATCTGTCTCCCTAATGGTCTACAAGATCCCCCTCTTTGAGGAAAGGGACTGTCTTATTCATTTTGCTGGCAGACAGTAGGCACTAAACAAATGTTTGTTGTACAGAATCTTTAAGAAGAAGGTGGCAGCTGAGAAGTTAAGGGAACGGGAGGAAGTGCAGAGGAAGAGGGAGGGAATGGAGACATGAGCGAGTGGGGAGCTGTGGGGATAGTCTGTGCACCGCCCGCCCCCCCCCCCCAGCCCCTAGTCAGTATCAGGATCTCCCTCTCCTGTCTTGGAGTCTGAGTTCCAGCTCCAATATATCCATTCCACGTTTCCCAAAAGAGGAACTCTTCTGTTCCTGCATAGGGATCCCTTGTTTGGGTCACACGTGAGTGGGACTGAACAGAAAGTCTCAGGGAAGATTCTCTACCGCCCTCGCTCTGACAGCCTGTTCCCTGCCTTCAGTTCCCTGCCTTCAACCAAAGCACGCTGGTCACGCAGGCAGAGTCTCGGCCTTGGCCATCGCTTTTTGTTCCCAGTTCCCCCTACCTCCTCCAAGGACACATACCACGGATGGTACTATGATTCTCTTTTGGGGTGGCCTCATAGCTGTGAAAGTTATTCAGGCCTCCTTTCCACAGACCCAGACACATAACTACCCCAGAAAGCACCCCCGCCTGGCACCTCCATCCTCCTCACCTCCCATAGTAGCTGCAGCACAGAGATTTCAACACAGGGGTTACAAAGCTGAGTCTTGGAGGTTCAGACAGCTTTCTAATGGCCTCGAGGCTCCGCGGGGAAAAAAAAAAAAAAAGTCTAGCAAAGAGTTGCCATCCAGTGCTGGGGCTGTCCAGCGCCTTTCTGCGCAGTGGGGACGGGGTTGGGGAAAGAGTGACCAACGGGAAGAGAGTGTAGGCTCAGCTCACGGGTCGAGCAACAGCCTCAGACAAGCCACTTGACCTATGGACTCAGTTTGGGAACCTGTAGCAATGGGTTTGACCTCTTCTCCTGGCTGCGAGTATCACCACTAGGGAGAGGCAAAGGCTTGCAGAAACCCCAACTCCCGTTCTGGCAGCGCGCTGCCCCAGGCTCCGGTAGGGTGGGGACTGGTCTCGAGGGCTGGAGGGGGCAATGGCAAGAGAGGTCTGTCCCTGCCGCGGGCCGGCTGCAGAGCGGACGTTCAGCCCTGCTCCGGCCCCCACTTGGCCCACCAGGTTCGCTGTGTTCATTAACTGCTGTCCGGACCTTTCGTGACGCGGAGCTTCAACTGCTGAGATCGCGGAGAAGCAAAAAGGAGTCCCTTCGCCCCGCACCCTGAGCGCCCGGGCGTGCAAACGTGGGCGGCGGAGAGCGGCTGCCCTCCCCTCCCCTCTCCCCCCTCCCCTCGCGGCGCTCCCGTGTGTGCGGGTGTGTGAGTGCGTGTGTCTCCCTCGCTCCCTCTCGCACACGTTCCGGCACTAGTGCAGGCGGCGAGCCGGCGGCTTTCCGCTCGCTCGCTCGCTCGCTCCGGCCGCTGCGCTCCCGCCTCGCCCCGGCGCCGCCGCCGCCGCCGCCGCCTCTGCAGTCGCAGCCGGGCATGGTGAGTGAGTGAGGTCCAGCCGCCGCGCGCTCCCCCGGCTCGCCGCCGGACCCCAACCTCAGCCGGCTCCGTCCCAGGGAGCCAGCCTGCGGCGGGAGCGCGCTGCGGGGCCGGGCGGCTGGGGAACCCGGGCGGCTGAGCTGAGCCTGGAGGGGCGGCCCGTGCGCCCTCGGTTCCAGGCGCGCAGGGCCGCGGGACCCCGTCTTGGGAGCGGGTTCTAAGCCCCTCACGGCCCCAAGCCTCTCTCCTCGAGGGCTGCGCGCACCCTCCCTGCCCGCCTACCCGCAGTTCTCCTCCTGCTCCCGGAGCGCCAGTCGCCCCACCCCGTGACCGGCTCCCCGTCTTGTCCCGCAGGACCCGCCCGGACGGGACCACGCCGCCGCCGCCGCCGCCGCCGCCGCCGCCCGGAGCCGCGCTTCGGGTCCTGCCTGAGTCGAGCCGCGCTTGGGGCCGCCGTCACCGCCGGCGGGGGATGGGGCTGCCCGGGAGGCGCGCCGAGCCCGCAGGGGGAGCGCGGAGCCGGCGCGCAGCCTGAGAGCCCGAGCAACCCGCGCCGGGCCGGTCCGTGCGCACCGCGCGCCGCCGCCGCCACTGCCGCCCGCGCCTCGATGGCGCCATCGCCCCGGCGCCGCTGACCGCTCCGCGCCTCCAGCCCGGCCCGCGCGGCGGGTCCTCCGAGCCCGGCCCGCCGGGGGAGCGGCCTCCCGCGGAAGCCTCCCCGCGCCCTCCCGCCCGGCCCCACCATGGCGCTGCGGCGCCTCCTGCTGCTGCTGCTGCTGCTGCTTTCGCTGGAGTCCCTGGACCTGCTGCCCAGCGCCCACGGAGCCCGCGGCCGCGCCGCCAACCGGACCCTGAGCGCAGGCGGCGCTGCCGTCGGGGGCCGGAGGGCCGGGGGCGCCCTGGCACGGGGCGGCCGCGAGCTGAACGGTACCGCCCGGGCGCCCGGAGTCTCGGAGGCGGGAAGCCGGCGGGGGCAACCCGCGGCGGCTGTGGCGGCGGCGGCAGCGGCCAGCGCGACCGTCACCTACGAGACGTGCTGGGGCTACTACGACGTGAGCGGTCAGTACGACAAGGAGTTCGAGTGTAACAACAGCGAGAGCGGCTACCTGTACTGCTGCGGCACCTGCTACTACCGCTTCTGCTGCAAGAAGCGCCACGAGAAGCTGGACCAGCGCCAGTGCACCAACTACCAGAGCCCGGTGTGGGTACAGACGCCCAGCACCAAGGTGGTGTCGCCGGGGCCCGAGAACAAGTACGACCCGGAGAAGGACAAGACCAATTTCACCGTGTACATCACCTGCGGAGTGATCGCCTTCGTCATTGTGGCCGGCGTCTTCGCCAAGGTCTCCTACGACAAGGCCCACCGCCCTCCGCGGGAGATGAACATCCACAGGTGAGAGCGCTGCGTGCCGCGCGCCCCGGTGTCCCCGCGGCCTCACCCTCTCAACTCGCTTCCCCTGTCCTCTTCACTCTTGGCCTCGCCACACCTCCCCTGGCCCTCTTAAGTCATTTCCACCGTCGCTCCTTTTGCATGCAATAAATCAGGGTCTTCTTGTGCCCCCTCCTCCATTTCTTCAGAACCGGGAATGCATGCTTTGGTGGTAGGGGGATTTGCAAGGCAGAGTAAGAAATTGGTAGAGTGTGTGCAGTTCCAAGTGTAAGAATGTTACAAATTCTGTAATCCTGGATGAGGATCCAGGGTTCTGCTTTCCTTTCCTGGCATGTGGGCACTTGGGTGTAGGTTCTTAATGGCATTTAGTTTTTTGAGTCAAATCGGAGTGTCATCTTCAACATAGGAAACTGACCAATGTTGGAACCTTACTGAAAGCGGTGCCAGGTGGCTTAGTGTCAACTGAGACGTTCTCGTACACTAGGAATTGGGGTTTTATAGAAAGGATGCCTCTTGCCGGAAGTAAAGATAAAGATTTCTCCATTCCATGTTGACCAAGCACAGATGGTGTCTCCTCATTGCATCCTGAGAAGTGGGATGTGTATCTTTCCTGCTGAGACTGGAGGACTTGTTCTTTGAAACCCTGTAGTTAGAACTTTGACTTAACAGTTCTTGCCTGTGTTAAATCTGGTGGGGCATCTTTCACTGCTTACATTCGAGACGCAGTGGGGGCTACCTCCTACCAAAACTTATGCCAAAAGCTCAAACTATGGCAGTCCCTGGTTCCACTCTGAATCCTGCCCCGAGGACCATCTTGCCCCCACAGTGAGCCCTTGGGGAGGTCAAAGCCAAGGGGACGACAGAAACCCAGCCTCCCCTTAGAACTCTAGGAATGACACACCCAGGGGATGCAGAGTTAGCTCGGCTTCCAGCCCCCTCATGTTGATGGATGTCTGGACGTGGTGCGAGAGTCCTCTCAGGGAACAAAACCTGCCCCAGGAGATGCCTCCATTTCTGGTGCATGGTGTGAGCACTGCCCTAGTCACCATGATCGCCCCCCAGACTACTGTTTGTCGGTCAGCCCTGCAGGTCCCCACACTGACCCGTTCACCTTGAGCTCTTCTCTGCGTCCTGGTTGTTATCCTTACCACCTGAAAACCTCCTTCCTCGCTCCTGTGTACATTAATCACCCCTGCCTTGCTGAAGAGAGAGAAAGGCAGATAGAAATTTCTAGGCATATTAAAAGAGCTGATTTTTTTTTTTTTTCCTGCTTGATACTGTGGGTGTTGAGAGAAATGATACTCCCTGGCAGGTTTTATTGAGTCAAATCCACAAAGGGTGGGTACCTCAAACTCGGGTGCTGGAATTGGAGTGATTTCAAAAGGAGACCTCGGTCACCCTGAGGTACCTCCACCCTGTCTTCCACCCGCAGCTCATGTCTCAGATAGTGCAGTAAGTATCCTCTTTTGTGAGAAACAGCCTGTGGTGAGTCTTGGCTCTCAAATGCAGAAGACAAGTGGGATGGTGAGCAAAATAAAGGCAAGACACTGTGTCTTTTGCATCTTGTCGGCAAAGAATTTGCTCTCTTGGCTCAGTGTAGAAAGAAGAGAAGGAGTTGCCTGTGGGCAGGTGCTGTCCTGATGCAGATGTGCTGGTGGTTATCATCGTTACACCTCTGCCTCAAGACTTGGAGGCTTGTCTCCTTTTCCCCTTCCCCTGTGGCCTTGGCCTCTCATTAAACCTTCTGCTCTGACCGCAGCCGCTTGCTGGTTGATTCCTACACATCTTTCTTTAAGTTACTTTCTTCCCTGAACCATTGTTACCTGTACTCAGGGAAAACTGCCTGCTGCCCTCACCCTTCCGCCTCATACAGAGTTTATTCATCATCGCCTGAGATGATGCGGAGGGCGGTGTCCTCAAATGCTGACAGCAGGCATCTTTGGATGCTGGCATTGGCACATGACCCTGGAGAGGTCACGTTCCCTCTTGGTGTTTTTTCCCCTCCCCACCACCCTGATGCCCCTTACGCCAAACTAGGGTGAAGGTGATGACACCACTGGGGCAACTTCTCTCTGGGGTTGGGGAAGCGGAGTAACCATGGGAAGGGAGATGAATTTCAGGCCTCAGAACATTATGCAAATATGGGATGTTTCCCCCTCAAGTTCACCTCCTGATTTTATTCAGTTCACAGCCTCTCTTCCAGCAGCTGCAGTCTTGCCTGATCAGTGCTTTGGAAACCATCATATCCGCGCCTGTTGGGTAGGGGACAATGCCTGTCTGTGTGTGGTGGGGCGGCAGGGGGACAGACACGGGCGATCCCTTTACGACACTCCATGAATGACCTTGGGCAGGTCAGGAAAACTTATTTTTCAGTTCTGGGTAACTCAAGCACAACAGTGTCCCAACTTAACCTCTTGCTTCCGGGGCACGTCAGGGTGAGTGTGCAAGTTGCTGTCAGACTCCTGGGGGTGAACGCGACTACACCACTCCTCTCGCTTTGCTCACACCTGAGAGACCGCCGTTTGCCATTCCGGGGAGTATTTTTGTGCAGACTGTCTTGTTGGGCGATCGGAGTAGGGAACAGGAGGGAGTGATGGAGAAAGAGAGAAACAGTCACACCATGTGAGTTTTCCTTAGTGAAAGTGGGGAGGAGAAAGAATGTACACTCTTGAGAGGTCAAGAGAGGAAGTGAAGGTGCATGCAGTTACATATTCCTTGAAATAGTTCAGCAAATATGTTTCCTTTCTGAACAGGAAAGGCAAGCTGGTTTCAATGTGTGCTTCTCCCTAAAGATGATAGCTGGGCAGGCAGGGGCTGAGTCTGAGGGAGTTTCAGTGAGAACAGCTTCATTGGAGAGGGACGTTTGTGGGAGTGTGAGCAGGGGTGAAGGGAAGGGACGGACCATCTGCGTCTGCCTCGGTGCTCCCAGGCTGGACAGCCCTCCGCCTGCCCATGCACACACATTCCTTAGGGTAGGACTTCCTTTCATCTCTCTACTCCTTCAGGGAAGAACAGATTTTATTATTTCCAGAAGTGATTAGACTTTGCTGTCGTGTTTCTGAGTGAGAAATGAGTGTCTGTGGGGGAAACTGTCAGCTCCCTAGTGATTCTAACAGATGAGTACCAAGTCCGACTCAGCTAGCTGAACTCCGTGGAGGAGGAAGAGACGGGCACAGGATTGAAAGGCAGGGCTGGGTGCTGGATGTGGCCAGAGAGCCCCAGGGCAGCCGTGCCTACCTTTGCCAACTGGAAGCTCAATTCCCACCAGGCTCTCCACTTCACTTTTCCCCTTCTTCCAAACTGCCTGGGCTCAGGCTCAAGCTGCAGCCATCCCCAGATTTTCCTGTTTCCCGAGTGATTTCCGCACAGCTCCCCTGAGGGGCCCTTTGTTCTGGGAGGGCCGCCAAGGGCACGGACTGCGCCCAGGAAACAGTCTGGGAGCCTGGGTCCTTTTTGACATTCCTTTTCGTGCTAGCTGTCTCACATCCAAACCTGTTCCTTCCTCCTCGCCCTGAGTTGATTCATTAGTGTCTTGGAGATGAGAATCATTCTGAGGGAGGAACTGTGTGGCTTTTTTTAATGGCTAATTAACAGATGGGTCAGGAAGCTATTAGGATGCGGGAGACGCAGTTGGTGAAATCAGAGCTACCCTAGGTCCTCCCACTGCCTGCACAGGTGGGGTGGCGGTGAGGGGGGATATCTAGGGGTGTGGGAAGAAAAATCCGGGTGGATATGAACCGGAAAAAGTATTAGGAGGTGACCGCTTCATCTTGGGTTTGTCCTCTTGCTTGTTTCTAGGGGAAGTCAAGGGAATACTTTGTTCTACTCTTTCTCCCTCCAGAAATTAATTAGAAACTCAAAGAGCTCTGTTCTCTCCTCACAGGCTACATAACTGCAGTGGCAGGGCCCCTTGGCTGGCTGATTTAGTGAGTTCTCTTCCTAGGCTCCTGGGCAACGAATTGTCAAGTCACTGCGTTTTTTGAAGCACTGAGCTCACTATAATGAATTGATCTAAATAGAGAGTCAACTTATTTTTCTACTTCAAATATAGAAGGAAACAAACAAAAAACCATCTTGCTTTGGACTGAAGGTTTTAGCCTTGCCTTTATTTCTTTTTAATTTGAGTTAAAAAAAAAAAAAAAAAAAAGCAGTGCTTTGTCAGGCATGGTGGCTCACACCTGTAATCCCAGCACTTTGGGAGGCCTAGGTGGACGGATCACATGAGGTCAGGAGATCAAGACCATCCTGGCTGACATGGTGAAATCCCGTCTCTACTAAAAATACAAAAAATTAGCCGGGCATGGTGGCATGTGCCTGTAATCCCAGCTACTCGGGAGGCTGAGGCAGGAGAATTGCTTGAACCTGGGAGGCGGAGGTTGCAGTGAGCCAAGATTGCACCACTGCACTCCAGCCTGGGGGACAGAGTGAGACTCAGTCTCAAAAAATAAAAATTTAAAAAAGCGCTTGTAGGGAAAGAGGAAAATTGTGGAAGAATTGGAGAAGTCTTATGGAGGAAGGGCTAGGGGAAGGATGCTGGGAAGGCAGAAAGAAGCCAAAATAGCAAAAGGAGGAAAGCAATCTGGTGAGAGGTCGATAATTCCCACTGAAGGGACAAAGTGACGTTGCCCGGCCTTTGTGTGCCACGGGCTTGGTTTGTCCTGGCTCTTGCAGACACATGCAGACATTCACTTAACAAATGAGCCCTGCTCACCTTCCCTGGGCAAGATGTGTTTCATACTACACCGTATAAGCTTATAAGATACATGTTGCCTTAGATAGATGAGGTTAGCAGGGTTCCTTCTTGCTTTAGCAGGGCAACCATGCAAATACTTTTCCAATTCCCTAGACTGTACAATTCTCCTTGGTCACATTGCTCACTGTCTTCATGTCCTTTCCTACCCCTCCCCAAGCTCAGAAGGCCTTCACGCCTGTCCTTTTCTCCCCTCTTACCCTACCCAAGGTAGGGAGCACGTTCATTTCTGGGAATCGGCTGCTAAGATACC